TAATAACAAAAATATTTGAATGTGCAGAAATGGATAGATTAACTTCAGAAATGAAAGAGAAAGAAGATACAATTTACTTTAAAACATGGGGAAAATTTTATTATTGGTTAGACATACAATAGAATGAGAAAAGGTTATGAAATTTAAAGAGATAATTGATAATTTGTATTTATATTCCATGATTATTTGTATGAACTTGTTCTTTTTTCTCTTCTTCCTCTTTCCATACTTGTGATTTTAAACAATATGGTAAATTATAATTAATATGTAATATATTATTTTAAAGTTATTATAATTAATTAGTATTAAGCATTGTTAAGTAGTGAAATGAATGAGATTTATTGATTAATTTGTTATTTACATGATTATATTGAAAGTTGTTTAATAACAGAGTAATTATTAAGATTTAATATGTATACCCGGACTGGTAGACTTGCTGAAGCGATGTTATTTTGTGGGATTAATCCCACTTTTGTGTTATCCCTTTTCCCTGGTCTAACCTTTTTGTATGTTTCCCTTTGTCTTATCCTTTTTGACCCTATTCCTTTATTACCCTTATAAAACTCAATAAAAATATTTTTTTAAAAAAATAAAGTTGCTGCCTTGAACTCTCCAGGGTCCTGATACTGCTAGAGACCAGATCTGTTCTGCCTGCCATTCTCTAGGTAACAAATCCTTGGTGGCTTCCTGAGACACCTTCAGGTGGACCAAGACAGAATGGCATTTTTTAAATAGCCTTCTATGCATATATGTGCATAGTCTCTTAGAAGTGAATGAAGACAAATATACATGTCCCAGGGTGATGATGCGAGATCAAATTTCGTCCACTTTCATACAAAAGGAGCTGCATCAGAACACTATATGGCAGAATGAGAACCCACTGTAGTATCCAGCAAGCTAAACAACTAGAGAGAAGGTACCTACATGAACAATTCAAGCATAATGGGTACCCACAAGCATTTATTACAAGATGCCTGTGCAAAAAGCAAAGGGGGGGGGAAGGCAAAAGACCACACTCTGCCATACATCAAAAACATTTCAGAAGCAGTAGAACGCAGCTTCTGAGATCTGCAAGTGGGCATTGCACACTGCCCAGAGGCTACCATATGAGAACAAATTGTGCATTATAAAGATCACTTGGAGGTGGGAGATACTTCCAATGTAATCTACTGCACAGATTGCCCTGTGATTATGCAGGACAAAAAGGGAGAAAGCTAACCACCAGATTGCAAGAACACAAGCGAGCAGTCAGACAAGGAGACCTGAACTCATTGGTAACCTCACATTGCAATGAACAACGACAAAAAATTAATTTTGCAGCAACTAAGATCATTGGACATGCAGGTACAAAGGTAGCCAGGGAAATGGGCCCCTTGTCAGTTAACAGGAGTACTGATTTACCACCAGCTCATTAAATATTTAGGAGACGAGGGCTTGGCAGCACAAGGAAACAACAGCCAATCACCAGCCATAACACGCCAATCAGCCAATAGGAAGGCACTACATAAACACGACTCACAGAACAGCCCAAAGCACGTATTCCCATAGAGAGAAATTCCCTGAAGATGGGCTCCAGCATGTGTCTGAAAGCTCAGCAGAGTAAATGTCTGGTCCCAGTAACCGACCCAAATTCAATGTTGCATCTCTTAGAAGCATTCATTTTCTCTACTTCTACATCTAAAATGTGTTTCTTGAGTTTGTGATTGTACTTTATCGCTTTGTAATGCTTGTTTTGGTTCATCTGAAAAGATAATGGTAACAGTTACGACTGGTTCTCCTGCTGGAAATGTCACTGCAAAAGGATAGAAGTCAAGAGAAAAATCCCAAAATGGCATGCCTAGTCTGAGGAAAATTCGTAAGGACTACATACTGAACACAGTACAGGTCCATGGAACCAAAGGGTATCAAGTCATCATTAAGGCTCTCTCTTACCTTCAGCAAATAGGAATAGTATTTTTCTTTGATAACAGAGGCAGTGTGCTTTCCTGTCCCACCTGTGGGCTCCACAGATGCATCTGACTGGCTCCACGGGAACAGAACACAATGCTGGTGTTCCACAGCAGGCCACTCCTACCCTTAACATTAAGTCATACTGAGAAATGAATGCCGTTTGCACCGAAGTATTCTATTTGCTATTTTGCCTTTGCTTTTTCTCAGCAAAGTATTTTGGAGTGGATGGCCATAATACATTTAATGAAAATAACGAACAGCATTTGTAGAACAAGCATTCCTTCATGGGTGTGAAGCAATAATACCTTAAACTTTCCTGGGATCATATGGCAGCTGGGGAAGGCAGCTGTAGAATTTATTTATTTGATTCAATTTGTTTATGCTGCCTGATTCCAACTGACTCTGGGCAACTCATAAAGTAAAAAGAACATACAACAACAAATAAATAATACAGCTTGAAAAACCAAAAATAATTTCAAAATAGAGAATGGTTAGCAATCCAGACAACACAAACATCTGAAGGGGGGGCGGGTTTGTTCATCCACCATCCTCCATAGCCAGGTTTTCATGTCCTTCCAGAACATCCTTAAGATGACAGCCATTTGGATCTCAGGGGAAACCTCATTCCAGGAAGAAGATTGGGATGCTTAAGATGTTGCCATCATGTGTAATATTTGGGTTCCTGTACAATCACAAGCACGTTCTAGAGATCCTATCCATGTATTTTAGAAAATGCACAATCTACAAGCCATGGAAGCCTCCCAAATACAAAATTACAGGAGAAATGTCAAATCAGACAGAGAACAAACCATATGTTTTATATCCATCCAATTAGTTTTGTTTTGAACATTGCTTTTAACTAAATCATGCTCTTGAGCATAAACAATTTTTAGAGCCAGTATAACAACAGAGGAAGTCTCTTGCTCTTTTCCCCTTCCTTTAACTCTCTCTCATTAGGCCACATTTTCTTCATTATTCTTCTGCATTTCTTAGATTTCTCTCCTATCTTTCCTCCAGGAGTTCAGGGACAACTCCCTCCTTATCCTTTATCCACATCATGCAACATTACAATATAGGGGAGTGTAAGTCAAGGGACAGTAATCCCAAATCAGCCAGTGAACTTCCACATCTGAAGTGGACTTAATCCAAGATTTCTTCAAATTCAGCTCCTTAATCACAACATCACACATACGCTTGCCTTAGTAACAGGTGGGGAAGATGCCAAAGAGCTCTACTGAACGCCATCATGCTCTGTGGTACGAGCATCCTGTTTCCCTTTTGCTTCATAAATAATCACAAAAGAAATTAAATTGCAGGTAAAATCATGTATTTAGTGATGTATTTTATTGTTGGTAATATTTGTTACGAAACCTAACAGATAATACTTTATGTTAGTTGCTTTTGTCAGTATTCAGGACAAAAAAATTAACATACTCAGACTAAAATATTCAGCATCCTTAATGTGCTTGTCTTTTCTTGCACATTCTACCCAGCATTCATACACCATTAAAGACCAAGTGAAAGTTGCCACCTAACTGACGAGAAGATCCAGCCTCAAGAACACAGATTGCTTCGAGTTGATTTTTCATAAAGGTTTATTGGGATTCAGAATTCAGTTGTATTTTTATCCCAAATTTCTTGGTTAAAACCATCACTCTTTCTGTCCTTCACACCGTTTTGAGATTTCTTAGCTCTTTCATATCTCTCAAGAAGAGTGATGGAAGGATTTATATCAAATGTTCATACTTTATTTAGACATGCCCTCCAGACTTGTAAGACAAAAAAAAAAAGCCAGTCTGCAAACTCTGTACTTGGTGTGTCATACCACAAACTTCTAGATGGATTGTTGATTCTTTTCTATCCTTGCTAGAATTCTTACATTTGAAATGCTGCATGCAGCAGCCTCATTGACTCCACGTTCTCCTTCCAATCTCTTAAGGCATAAAGCCATTAGACATGTTTTTGGTTTACATGAAATCTCCGTTTCAATAAAGCATCAAGCAAACAATCAGAATGGTGTTTGTTTTACATCCCTCAACTAATAAAGAACATGTGGGACTGTTAAGTATTGCAGACAAACAGTATGAAATGGAATCGTCTATGGTGTTTTATCTTGCTTGTGACATTTGGCTTTTGAAATGTATGTTTGGATGGAGCAACGTTTCAGTTTTCAGCTTTTGGCCAGAAGAGAAAGATGTAGAGCTGAACTCTGCTCTGTTATCATCTTAATGTAGTTGCTGCCCCAAATATGGAACAATGTGCATTTTGCGTTTAAACTCTGCTTGAATGCTTTTACGTAAATTGAAATATTAGAAAGCACCAATAAACTTTATAGGCACATTTTCAAAAGAAACAAAAATCTAAATAGCTGTTCTTTGTTTCTAGAATTCAAAAATGGGATGACTGAAATATGCTATAAATCACTTTACTAGCATTAAACAGCTTTCATTTAAAATACGAGTGAAAGTAAAGAAGTATTTTCTCCCCCAAATAGTAACCTGAACACATACCTCTTGACGACTTATCATTTTTATTATTGTATCTATATTCATATTGCTATAACATGTCTGAGATGCACATTGGATGGATAGATAATATGAGGAAGAAGCAGTATCACTTCTCTTCCAACTATGCAACTTTGATTTTAGATTGGAAATAAATATGTGAGAATATTATAATGAAGAACATTAATTTCAGAGGTGGGATTGAATAGACATTGGTTGGGAGCTCTCTACTCCCTAGCTACATGCCTTGATTGCCTATATGATGTACAACCCAAAAGTACTTATGAATAATAGTTAAAAAGAGACAAAGGCCTCTACTTCGGCATCTAAATATATCCCTAGAGCCAGGAAAAGAGGCACAGCACGCTCATACTCCAAGGCATTCAGAGTGAGGACTTCTTGCTGCAAGGCAGAAGAACCCAGGGTGCAGCTTGCAAATGTTCTCGACTAACAGACCTGCCACAATCTGAAGCTTAAATATCATTTTAGCACAATTTTTATTAGTTGAAGCAACTGTTTGGACAACTATAATAAGGGAAAAGATACCTTCAGGGTTAAACCAACTCCTTCCTCTGCAGTGCTTCAGTTCTGAGGTGACCCACAGCTGGGGAACTTTCATTATAAACCAGTTTCGCCCTCTGGGAACCAGGAGATGATTGAAGGGGGAACCCTCACCCCACACTGGGTCTGGCTAAATATAGAAAGAGAAATCAAAACATAACTTTATCATTCTGCAGCTCAACCCAGTACAGGTGGGTGCCAGAAGAGTCCAGTCAAACAAAAAGAAACTTTATTAAAGGTGTCAAAAGAGGATAAGGTGTGACATACACAACACACAGGTAAAAAGAGATTTTATTTTTTTAAAAAATGCCAGGTTAGCTACACTCAGACAACTCAATTTCCCACCTTGCCTGAATCCTCCAAAACGTCAGCCAACTTTCTCCAAACCCCAAAACTCTTCCTGCTCCCAAACCTGACAGAACCCCCTGCTTTTCCTTTATTGGTCCTCAGGGGTCAGGTGACTCTCTCTGGGCATCTAAGACTGGTTTGTGATTTAAAAGGCCAGTTGCTTCCCACTACAGAAATAAAATAGCTGTCATCAATTCCACTGCTAAATTGTAAATTTCCCTGGTTTTGACTAATTTTATTTCAGTATCAAGAAAGACACATACACAACAATGAAACTACATAGTGTACAAGGCCTTTATTAAGAACAAATCAAATGTGATCATGCTTTACTATTTTCAGTACTAAAATAATTGAAGCAACTTTTAAAGACAGATTCAAAACCTAATAAATGGTTTCTATGCTCCTTTTTTCTTTCATTTTCTCTTTTTCTTGGTAAAATTAGATCCCTATTAAATATTATAGTGTTGAACCACTGCTTGAAAATTCATGCCCAGAACTCTTTGGGGGCATGAAATCAAATGCAGGCTTTTGCTGTTCAAAATTAAGCTGTAATCATATCCTCAGTTTCCTGAATATGTTCCCCCATAAAAAAAGTTCTGGATAGAAATGAATCGGACTGTATTGTTAAACTATTCTGCTGAATTAGAAATAAAAACAGTGAGGTTATTTTTTTTTTAATCTAAAAATAATTTTTCAAAGAACAAATTCAGATTTAAAGCATTTTTTCTAGAACAAAATGAAAATCACAGCTCTTATCTTAAAGCTCAGTGAGTAGTGCCCATCTCGGTCCTTGTCTTCCCTGAAATCAAAAGCATTCCTTCACCACCACTCCAGACTAGTAGCGGGTGAAATATAACCAGTGCTTTTCTGATTCAGGAAGGGAAAAGGTGCAGTTGTGGTTTCTAATCTCATAAAGTCAGACCAGAAAACTTAATCAAACCCTGCTTGACCTTGAAACAAGATTAAGTGTTTAATCTAATCTGGAAACACAATGCTCTGAAGAAACATGGTTGGAATTGGAGACGCTTAAATCAACCTTTGATAAAACAGTAACCCAGAGGGCAGCTCTCTTTTCACTCTTTGAATGCCCAACATAAGCTTGGTCTTTATTAGCAAGAAGCATGACCACATGCTGGTCTGCTTGAGACGGAAAAGATGGAGAAATCCCAGTTCTCTTTAACTTTTCAAATTCTATACACTATCTTTCTTTGTCCCCCAGATTCTGATGGCACAATGGACATCAACTGAGACAAAGTAAAGCTACATCCGAGTTTCTGATCTGCAAGCTATTTAAGTTATCAACCAAGCCACTTTACCAGCATTATTACTGCCACCTGGTAAACCAGAGATCCTTTTTTGCTGCTAGATCCTAAGCTTAAATTACTCCTCAGAGGCTCCAAGCCTGAACAATAAAGCACAGTGTTCACCTAACCCAGTGGTTCTCAACGTGTGGGTTGGGACCCCATTTGGGGTCGAACGACCATTTCACGGGGGTCGCCAAACAAGGCTGTCCGCCATTTTCCCCCCCTTTTCTTTGGCCATGCCCCTGACACCCAGTGATGTATAAGTGGTTGGGGGGTTACCACAACATGGGGAACTGTATTATGGGGTCGCGGCATTAGAAAGGTTGAGAACCACTGACCTAACCGCTCACTACCTTTAAAAGGAATATAAAATGAACCCATGAGCCCACTGCTTCTCCAACCTCTGGTATTTTCTTTCCAAAAAAACTAAACTTTAGGTAACATGGAAATACCTAACACTTTTCAATTCTCTTGAAGTGGGATGTATGCCTGTACTCTCATACTCTCATTTCTATATAGTACTCTCAAAATTTGTACGCTGATCGCACAGAAGGTAAGAACAATTTCTCTAACAATCATTTAATTTAAAAATCATTGTTTTAACTGATTTTTGTTCTTTTCATGAACTAGCTGATTATACTATTATTACACACAGACAATTTACAGTTGAGGAATTGTATCAATTAGCCCAGTGTGGAACTCAAAGCACTCTATTTTGGTAATAGTCTTGTCATCTGTGTGTTTTTGCAGAAGGATTGATTAGCCCACGATTTTACAGTGACTCAATCATTCAGATGACTGAACTTTAAAAAGAAAAGGCATCATTCAAAAAGTGAAATAGTTTACATTATGCATGAATGTTAATTGACAGTCATAATTGCAAGTTTAGAAAGACTACAATATAAATAGAAAGGGGTATCTCATCATTGCAGGGAAGATTATGACCAAACATATTTATCCTAGTATCAGGTGTGAATTGTGAATGTGCAGCTTCAAGACACTGTTCCATTACTCCTCTTTTCCTACTTCAATCCAAATCTAAACTGGACTGTCTTTCAAAGGATCCTTACTAAAGTAAGACATACAGTACAGCTATCCACAGAATGTAACTAAGTGACTTTTCCCGCAGCACAAAATACTTTCTCTTACTAAGTGCTTGACTTTTGCACCCAAGAACAAAAGCCAACTTTAGAAAGTAGAAGTAAAATGCTGTTATTCAAACTTTAACAAAGTTAAGGTTAATGAAAAGAAAGACTGCTGCAATAATGAGCTGTCATTTGCAGAATTGCCCATCAACAGGTGTGGGGAGGACAGGTCCCTTGGATGTGGCCTACTGAGCTCTTGATGAAACAGCTGCATGATTGACACTTATGATCCTGCTTTTACTAGTTAATTGAAAGGACAAGTGAATATGTCCTTCCTGGCATACCCAAAAGTGTAAGTACTTTGTTCAGCAGGTCATCAAATCCACTGCTGTTGAAATCAGCAGGTGAAAAGCCACTCCTTAAAAAAAAATGAAAGCAAAAAATACAACTTATTGCATCTAACAGGACAATCTTTTGAAAGCAGGTTTACTTGCATGAAATGAAAAAAGTATAAGTCAAAGGCCTTGATTAAAAATCATTTATATTTTTTTAAAAATCCAGTTTTTCAGATTTTATTCTATCCAAATATATCCATAGATACATAACCTGTATTTTATGTATATGCAGGCTGATGGATGGTGAAAGAAGCATAAAAACTGTAGAATTTACACGGAAGCCAATTTATTCTATCAGCCTAGTGGGAAACTGCTAAATGCTTAATGTGGATGGGGGAGGAGAAGCATATATGAAAGGACAACAGAGAAACATGTGACATGTACTTTTAGTTGGTGCTTTACTAAAAGTAAAATTAAAGAAAGAAATATTTCATTTATTAGATTTTTTTTATCCGACCTCAGGTGAGCTCAGCTGGTGATTTTATGGAGTTTTTTTTTAATACTGCAATTTCTAAAGGCTTGATATACCCAGATTAATTGAAGCAGTGCCAAATAGACATGCTTTTTAGTAACAATAAATTAGTATTAATAATTGGGTGTGCTTGGTAGCATCCTATAGCTCATGGTTCTGGCCATAAAGAAACTCTTAACTGAGTAAACATTGCTGGCCATATATACAAAGAGACAGAAAGATACACAAAGACATTTCATTTTGCAATATTGTCTTCAAACTGAAGAACCTCGTTCGGTAAAAATGGTGTATGACACTCACAGAAAATAAATTTCACATAGATATGCTGATTGCTTGACTTTGCACAAATGTCACCATCTGTATCACTTCTGTTAATAAAAAAAAGGCAAACTAAAACACCTGTTTAAAACTGTTAACACTAATTCAATGCCCAGCTGCTTATTCCATACAAGGGCAACTTCATTTGAACATCTAAGGAACCTGTTCACCTATAAAAACAGAAAAGAAATGGCTAATTAGGGAATCTTCTCTGATTCACAGAAATTGCTGAAATTAAATTTTACACCAAGTCCTTTAAACAAAATAGATGAATCAGGTCTCAGCAGAGCCCAGATAGTATATCATCTGAGGCAAAGCTCAAGGAAGAGGACAATGATTAAGAGAGCTTCCCAACAAGCAATTCCCGGTATCACCACTCAGACAGCACTATGCAGTTAATCCATCTTTCCCTCCTTCACATATTCTTAAGGGGAGGAAGGGTGAAAAATATTAAAGGGTTATAAGAAGATGGTGACATCTGGACCCTTCTTGCCCCCTCCCCAATAAAATTCTGTATTTGTAGCATACAAAACATTTTGTCTGGAAGTACCTTGAAGTACTTCAGTAAGGAAAGTATTTTCACATTTAAGTGCATGCCAGGGCTGATAATCAAATGCTACAGGAAGCAGAAATGAATGGCTAAAGGTTGTAACTATTTCAGATTTCAAGCAGCCACACTTTTTTTTTAAAAAAAAATTGCTTTATGTAAGAACAGAAAATTAACTTGAGCTAACCAGACATCACTGGAACCCATGTTAATCAAGAAACTACAAGGAGTGTCTATACTGGATTAATTGTTTCAGGGGAAAAAATGGAAATACGAATGTTATTATTAACTGGACAATAAAAGAAAAATCCCAAGAAAATTATAGGACAATTCACTTTATTAACCAAATAATCTTATGAATACTCTAAACGGTTAAATTAAAATATCTCAGTTTTAAAAATTGAACAGCTTGGTGGTCAGTAAACATATTTCTGAATCAATAGGCAAGGGAAAGAGCTGTACATTAAAGGGAGTCTTTCCAACTACGCATAGGAGACTGAAGACAACTCAGTGATTTGGGGATCAGACAAAATTCAGGACCAAGTGGACAGCATACCAGATGAGCTACCAAAGTTTGTTGAGCAGATCACTGGGAGAAGATGCTGCATTTTCAAGGACATTTTTCAAGGTCACAGAACAATTTGAAGAGCAATGTGAAGAACAGAATTGTTCTCCCATATTTCTCTTTCCGTCCAAAGATTTGCATATTAGGTGACATTGCTTTAAAGCAGTGGTTCTCAACCTTTTTAATGCCGCGACCCCCAACCGGTCATAAGTCAAGGACTACTCAACCGGTCGTAAGTCGAGGACTACACAACTGGTGCAGCACCGTTTACAGAATGGGACTTTTGGCAAGCTCAGCAGGGCAGAGACAGCCTGGACAATTCCTATTGGCTTTTGAAAGCCAATAGAATTAGACTCTATTCAAGAGAGTCTATTCTATTGGCTTTCAAAAGCCAATAGAATAAAAGGGAGTAGCACAGCTAAGGAAAAGGGGGAAACAATGGCGGACTGCGTTGTTTGGCGACCCCCGTGAAATGGTCGTTCGACCCCAAATGAGGTCCCGACCCACAGGTTGAGAACCACTGCTTTAAAGGGATAGTACTGGGGTTTTATTTCACCTCAGACATGCAACATTCACAACAATTAATATATTCCTGTCACTTTGAAAAGACATGGGATTAATTCAGATGCAATCAAACTTTCTGCCAGAGGGAAAAGCAAGTAAGGTAAAACACAAAAGCCTGACAAATCCTTTCAAGCATGAGAATTCTCCTGAAACAACCATTGCCACTACAAAAAGAAAACGGGAGCAGGAGACCATCTAATCTTAAGAAGTGAGCAAGTCTTCCATAGGGAAACTTGGGAATACATCCCAGTTATTTGCAAATATATCTGGCAGATGAAGTTATTCTGACAAGAAAGGGCCACAAAAGAGGTTGAAGGATCTCACTGAAATTTGTAACAGATCAAATTTAATTTGCATTGTAACACATCATTTGTTACTGCTTTGCAAATGTATGTACCCGTTGCTTTCTGCTTATTCAGACAGAGAATAACTGTCTGGAACACAGCATTTAAGAACGTACCACATTCATTTTTATTCTGAAATAAAATGAAAACCAGGCACAGAAAAATAAACAGAAAATACAAAATACAAACAGCTATGATTAAAGCCTTGGAAGACTATAACTGTGGCACAAGTGATAAACTTTGGCTTTTAGAAGAGAATTGTAAGGAAGACTATATGTGTAATATGATAACAAGGAGGCTGGTCTAGTGGTTTGATCCTCCTGCCATCTCTTTCTGGTTTTAAGCTCTGAAATAAATGATACCACAGCTTTGAAGCAAGAGTTTGCTTTGTATTGGCCTGGATGAGCGTCCTCCCATTTCATCAACAAAAATTTCTTCTCCAAGTCTTATATTTAAATATTTTTTAACAGAAATCATTTATTTTGCTTAAAATGTTTCATAAAAAATAACATTAATTAAAGTGAAACCATGAAGTCTCAAAGCAGCTAATTAACAGTTTTGGAAAAAGCGAACAGTGGCTGTATGCACGGGGAAGATGGAAGCGAGATGATTGCTATTGAGACAGAGAAGATCAGTGGATCATTTTTATTTTTATTTTGCCCCAAAATAAAAACTGGGGCATATAAAAGAAACATTAAGATGCAAACAATTTTAAGCAAATGTGATTAACTGCTCTGAGGTTTCAGATAGAGAATGTTCCCATGCAGAAAAGCTTCAGCTTTTGATAGATCATCATTCTCGATAGCCAAAATCAGTAATAATAACATTTTTATAAGATATAATAATTTTAGATAGTCAGATTTATTGAATTTAATAAACACCATAAATTACTTCCTGGCCAGTTTAAATTATTCAATGAAAAGCTACCTTTCACTTAGAATTTAATGAAAATAATTTTCCTATTCAAATTCATGAACTCCTTGAAATTTATCCAATGGAACCCAGGTTAAGAGCTCATGCTTTTAACATATCATTAAATCTACATTATATGCATAATTCTCTATCTACGAATAAGCATATCTCTGGCATCAGCAAAAAACACCCTTCTTAAATCCACCGTTTAATATGTACATATATTTTATATTCATCTTATATAGAGTATGCAGAAGCAGGTTTTCATTTCTTTATGTCTTTTTTTTAAAACCCATTTTAAAAAACAATTTCATCCTTTCAGAACAATTATATATAGTGTGGTAATCTTCTTAGCCATTTAATTTAGGGTATTCTTCATTTGCTACACATCAATGTAATCATCTTCAGTCAGGTGCCTCTGGGTAGGCTGGACTACATAATCCCTCAGACATTCAATAAAAACAAAGTTGAGCTAAAGTATAAAAAGGCATATCCTAGACAAGGATGGGTAGATTTCATTTTTGGAACAACTACATTTTTCTCCTTTTTTACTAGAATCTCCAAATCTGAAAAACTAAGCAGTAGAATTCAAGAATTTTGAGCCCAGGACCTTATTGCAACCACTAGAATTAAAATGTCAAACTAAATTTAAAGTCCATTCTTAATTTTGTAAAGTTTTCTTCATATCAATGGTATAATTTAGGTTGGAGTGAGGAGCCACTTTGTTGCTTCTATTTTCAGATAATTAGGAGGCAGAGGCTTTTACAGATCTACTAGAAATCATTTGGTCCTTTCCAGAATTTATGTTTCAAGCTACATATTCTTTTTTTGGAATGGATGTGAATATTTATTTTAATCCCCCCCCCCCCCAGATGTAGTAATCCTAGGGATGGATGCTGTTTTATGCAATGAAGATATATATTTGGAATTGAAGGTATTTCTAAATTAGTAGACCAGATTTAGTATCATATAATCCTAGCATAAGGGAAAGGCATTGCATCTATTAAATACAATCCTGGCTCAGTCCAGGAATCCAGATTAAAGCATCCTTAATAGTTTTCTAGCTTCTGCTTGAATATCATGGCAGTATAGTTCTTTACATAATTATTTGTTCCCAATGGATGAGAGCAGTGGATAATTTTCAAAGACCTTGATAAGTCTTGGAAGTTGCTTATCACATCCCTGGTGCTCAGTTGAAAAAAAGGATAAATGGATATCTTGGTGGTGGGATCACACTCCTCTGTACATATTTCCTGCTGTGTTAATTTGTTAATTTCAAACGCAAGAGCTTCGGAGTTGTTGCATTGTTAGATCCAAGCATCTAGTTACTGGGTTTAAACATTAGGACATAATGTCATTTATTTAGTTTTAGATTCATGCAGTGGGTCATCCCTACCAGTATAAGTTTAGGCCTCAGTACTATAGATGATCCAGGCCATATTCAAAAAATATCTCAGATTATGATTTGGCATGAGATGTGCATTTAATCTATCAGATCCTCACTAAAGAGAAGATGCCTGATTTCAGGCTTCCTATACACCCAAGAGTGAGATTTTTTCCCTTTAGCTAAAAGTTAATATTTCATTTAAAATTTTTGGATGAGAAACTCAATTAAAAATACAGCATATATGTACATGCTTAATAGATTTTTAATATTATATAGTTATCTTTTGCAAATGCTATAGGCTCTCAGAAACGTAACTCTTCACACAGATGGTGAACTAGACACATTATGGAGTTTTTAAAATGATACATTTTGCTTTACAGCTAACTTAATATGCAAATAAATTCCAATATTTACTCAGTCATGACGGAGCATACTAGGGATGCCTCTCGTTTGTCACTAATTTGAGGAAAATGCATGAAGGTCATCAAATGGAATCAGAACATATGCAAAATACTCCTCTCCTGCTATATGGCTAGTGCAGAGTTGCAGTCACATTAATGATAAACACATGCATTTTAGCTAAGTATTTACAAGTGGGATCTACAACAGGATGCTACAATTTGGAATGTCCCGGATCAGAAGTGCAGCTAACTTAGGCAACTTACCTCCAGGAGCATTCACGTCACTGTTTCAATAATGGGCCAGCCTGCCCTGCTCGCTCAGCAATTTATTCCTGACACTGCTAGTTACAGTGGCAAAATCTGGAGGGGAATTCCACTTAATGGATCTCATGATCCTGTGGATAGCTTCCTTTCAGGTTCTTCTTTTCAAGGTCACAGGTTGAGGAGATTGAGGCAAGGTGCACAAAGATCCTATCTCATAGTTATTCTAGGGGGAAATGGAGGAGAAAGTATTGTGTATCTCTCGGAGGAAAAGTGAGGCATACCACCAGTAAATGAATTAAAAATATGGACACTCAAGTCAAATAAAACACTTTATTACATCCAAAGGCCAGCTAAGAATGAAGCCATTGTACATGCTGTCAAGTTAGAGACCATTTGTAGGATGCAGTCTAGAGTAAAATGTACCCCGTATATGTTGGCTTATCCTGACTACAGCAAATCTGGCCAAGCATTAGCAATATTTGGACACTCTATTTCATGCAATTAATTGTGTGAAAGGGGGAATGGAGCTTGTCAGCTGCCACCTTATGATTGCTTCTGCTTTGCTGCTATGTGGTGACAGACAGCCATGAACTGTGGGTAGGGGGAATGAAGGGGCTAATGCTTGGGAAAATGAAAGTAAGTGCTGTATCTCCTCGAAAGGTTGCCTCAAGGTCACCCAGCTGGAAGAAGCAGGGAGCCACATACCAAACTGTGCTGGGAGTGACCATTATGAAAATATCTTGCCTGAACCTGACTGGTTACCCTGGGATGTGCAATGAGAATTAGTTAAGGGAGGGGAAAATAGAACTTAGGGATTTTGGCACACGATTCTCAGTCCTGATTTTGCAATATTGCAGTGCACTTGATCTCTAATAAACTATATCTTTATCAACAAATGGAAGCAAGGAACGATTCTATTTGGAGGTTTAAGTTGTGACAGGTCCAACAGAGCTACCATGTTTCTCCAAAAATAAGACATGGTCTCATAATTTTTTTTTTTTTTTTGCTTCCAAAAGAGGCACAAGGTCTTATTTGGGGGGGGGGATGTCTTTTCCACAGTCTCACCTCGCAGCAGCACAAACATCCCCACCCAGCCGGCCCACTTTTTCTGCAGCCACTCGCCACCACTTGCGCACGTTGCCCCTGGCCTCCATTTCACCATCAGAAGCTTCTGGAAAGGCCTCTACAGCCAAGGACCAAGCTATGGATTCAGCTATGAACCATAGCTCAGTTTTTTGCTGTAGAGGCCTTTCCTGAAGGCCTCTGACGGTGAAATGGAGGTTGGGGGTGATGCATGCGAGTAGCCACAGAAAAAATGGGCTCGTGAGGCAGGTGTCAGGGCACGGGAGGCCTGGCTGCAAGGGTAAGTGGGTGTGGGGCAAGTGGGGCAGCTCCACCCCCACACCTCTCTGCCCTAGCTTGATTTTTAGGCATGCACTTCACCTCAAAACTAGGGCTTATTTTTTTGGGGGGGTATGGCTTATATTAGGCCTACCCCCCAAAAAAATCAAGCTAGGGTTATTTTTGGGGTAGGTCTTACTTTTGGGGAAATACAGTATTGTATGACTTATGGCAAGCTGTGAGGGTAGGATTGGGCATATCTATATTTAGGATAAAAGTGCCTGCAAATGTAGAGGATTGGTGAAAAAGAAGGCAGGTGTCAAGCCCTGTGGGGCTTGCCAATCGCTGGTGGGGGGAATTCAGAAAACAGCCCACCGTTGCCATACACAGCTGCAACGCTGCACAGCCCCTTGCTTCCGCTGGCACCAGAGAAACCTACTCCTCGCTGCCTCGCCAACCAGCTGGGTGTCGGAGGCCAGCAGGACACCGCTGAGCCTGGCCGGTCGGCACCCGGAAACCCCAAGCCTCACCGCCCTGCTGCCCAGCTGATCATCAGACGACAGCGGGCCATTGCAGAAGCCAGCCGACATACGCAGGCCGGCGAAAAGCCAGAACCGGGCGAGGGGGCCTTTCCAACAGCACAGATGGCCCATGCGACAGCTCAACGAAAGAGGGGATGAGCAGAACCAGGAGCTGCACAGCACAGAACACTCACTGTTACCAGGAGGAATACCGGTGGCAGACCACGGGGGCCCGGAGGAGCCTGGAAGCAGTGCGTCAGCAGAGGGCTTCATCTTGAACAAACAGGAAGCAGGGCAGAGGGGTGGGGTTCAGCTGGGGGAGGGCCAGGGACGGACAAACGGACTTTTGAAGACAGCTGGGCGGATGGTGGTTAGTGGGTGGAGGGTGGGGTTTTGGGTGTGGCACTGTAAATGAAGCACTGGGAGCAAACCACTCCCAGTGCTGACTTTGTTTGTTAGGGATTAAAATACCTGACTTGCACCTCGTTCCTGCATTCTTGCATTTATTTCATCAGGACGACGACGGACAGTGTGACAGCAGGTTCTCTACGGAAATGTTTCTGCAAGGAAAATGTTTTGGGAAATTGTCACACTTGCCTAGACCAGGGGTAGGCAACATTGGCTCTTTTATGACTCGTGGACTTCAACTCCCAGAATTCCTGAGCCAGCTTCTGGGAGTTGAAGTCCACGAGTCATAAAAGAGCCAAGGTTGCCTACCCCTGGCCTAGGGCATGTTGATCACCTGCTTCTTCCTTTGGCCCTTTGGGGGGGGAAAGGTCCCAAAGTTTGGGTGGCAGAAGAGACTGAATCCCCATTTGAGAGTTAGGAATCACTTGCAGGCAGTCTTTCCAGCTGAATGCATGAATTGTGTTTGAAGGCTAGAAGAACTACAAAATGAATTATTCACCTGGTATTGACATTACAACCTGCATTCTATAGCAGAGTCACAGAATCTGGCTTCATATCCTGACTGTTTTGGAATGCAATAAAGATACGTCCGTCATCTTTCATGAAATAATTAACATAGCAATAGCTAATCTTTTTAAAGTTTCTTTACAATCTCTGGTTACCTAGGTGATACCTGTGATTAGAACATTTCTCACATTAGCATTTTCCAGTAGTGTAACTCCATTTTGTAGCACTGTGGTATAGACCTGACTATATTTCTCTCACATAACTTTTATCCTCAGGGAAATATCCAGTGATGGTGTTGAAAATTGGCAATTTTGTATCTATTATATGAAAATACTATAGGATTTAATAAATAAATAAAGTTCTAACATATAGCCCAAAGGGGGATGTGCATGTACTAAAGATTGTATTTTCTTTAAAGCTCCTTTGGGGTGTTTTTTTAAACAGATGAAATTCCTTAAAAGGCCAGCTGTTTTGAAAAAAATAAATGAAAGTCTTTTGATCTATGCTTATGATCCCCAGCATTATTATCTATCAGTCCACAAAAAAGCAAACAGGCAAGTTATTTTTAACTACAATTAGTTCACACAGCAGAACAGCAGTGAGCAAAATTCATAATTATGCAAACACAGTCACAATCGCTGATCCAATGACCAAAATAAAGTGATTTGATTTGTTCAGGGAAAAAAACCCTCTTCTGCATCGTTTTAGATTTCTTTAACTACACAATTAGCTTTAAATTGTAATGTAGCAATATTACTTACAGTGGGATGATTCCTTCCACCCATAGTTTATACCTTTTAATTCCATTTTGTTAGGTTTTTAATTTTTATATCATTACATAATCAATTGCTTTTCACTGATGGATAAAATAAATGACTTAGTAAATATTTATTGGCTATTTCAGTCTTCAGTGAAAAATGCAATATTTTAATTGACATACTGCACATTCATCAAAGACATTTCAGTGGGATTGGGGTTTTTTTTTGCTACTGAAATATTTGGTTTGCAATCTCATATTTATTTCTGCTTTTATCATCTTTTCATGAAGTACACAGAGAAAATACCCCTAAATCCTAAGATATGCATACCAGGTATTTTCTGATTTACCTACATATGTACATAACTAGCTACAATCATTCTTAATTGTTAGCCATGCAAGTAATTTTCAAATCACAGTGTAAAATAAGTTTATATATGTATGATTCGTGAATTTTAGGCATTAATATGTATCTTAGGTTTATAAGGATGTAAGCATAGATAGCATTTTGTTCAAGAATGGATACTTGTAAAAGGACTGTATCTTCTCTCTATCTGCAGCTCTAGAATATATGAATGCAAAAAGAAAAATCTGCACAATGAGTTGGAACTCATTGACGGCAACTATTTTAATTCCTTGTTACGTACATTTTTGCTGGAGGGCAAACTAAGAAAGAACATGGTTTGATATAGGCCACTATATGTCTTGTTGAAAAGGTTACATGGCCCAGATAGTATTTTCCACTGCTCATTTCTTGACTCTTGGTTGGCACAACAATAATATAGGGATTTCCATAACGTAAATTTTCAGGAGATCTGTACCAATATTTTGCTCAGTGCAAAACTGCAATAACAGTACATTGAATAAAATAATTAACTTGAGAATGTCGGTTGAGCCAATCAGAGAATACAACAAGAGAAGCAGTGATATGTTCGCATTACATTGTAACTTCCAAGGGCATTTAGTATTTTAATGTTCAGACTATAATGTTTTAGTTTGTTAATGTGTAAGTAAACAAGATGTTCTTCTACATACATGTTCATCTTAAGGAAAAATAAACATTTTTAATTATTACTTGCAGAATTTAGTGGATTTCAAGTGTTCATAGGCAGAACTGTATGTGTTGCTAATCAGCCAGAAGGTTTAAGTTTTGAATGTCACTGGTTTGTGACTTCCTTATAAATTATTCTTGCTGTAATTAATACTGGGGGGGGGGTGAGGCAAAGGTAGATAAAGTTCTGCAATGATCCCTTTGAAAGTTTAAATGGTTTCTCTTATTTCTCTGCCCTGTATGTGCATATATAAATGTGCATGTAACTGATTTCCCAGAGAACCAAATTAATGCTGTGGTTAGATCCTCAGCCATGTTTGAAGCTTATCTCTCCACCTTGGGGCAATTACTGTGTTTCAGTGGCAGCCTAATAAAACTCCTAAGGCTGTTATGAAAATCGGGAAACAAAAAAAAAAAAACAACCCATGAACTGGAAATTCTTGGGGAAAAGCAAAATAAATCTATTAAAGAAAGATACCTGTGAAAGAAAAAGGATATTTTGTGAAGGGACCCTTGTGTATGCCATGCAGAAGAAATGGAAGCCAATACAATAATGAAATCAAGCATGACTTTTTTAAAAACCCTAATTTCAGATAAGCCAAAATTGCCCCATAAGTTCCTAAATTACAACTTCGCTCAGTTACACATGAATTGGTGGCAGAAAGAAAACTGCCCTGTAGCAATTCATGTCATCAAAGGAAAGTACAGAGGACATGTATGACCTGGGATGGGCTTACCCGTTACAGTTAAGAGCTATATTTTAAAAAGCATGCTCTTGTTCTTATCCAATTGCATTCCATTCACAGATATAACAAAACGGGGAAACAAAATTCATTTGACAAGAAAGGAAAGGCACGTGCCTCCATTTAAAAAAAAACCAAAACCTAAATATCTGCTTCACCCAGCATCCTTCCTCTGATTGAGGCCGACCAAATCTTGCCAGGAAGCCTTGTGAATCAGACAGTGCTTCTCTAGTTTCTGCCCCCTCTCATCTGGTAAACATGTAAGTTCTGTCAAGTTACCATGGCCTGACGAAAGTATGATCTGCAAGTTACACCAATCCTTTCGAATCATCATCATTACACAATTCACTTTCAAGGTAAGCCCTGTTATGCAAAGCATAAAGATCAACATGCAAATAAGTATGAAATAGCATGCTGAAGAAATTAAGACACAAGATAAGAAAAAGAACTTTGTCCATGAAGCCTTTTTTTTAATCCTACCTTTAATGAATGATAAAGGAGATGATGATGATGATGTTGATGATGATGAATAGTATCATGAATACCTGGGTAGGTTGAAGGAAGAGAGATATTCAACAGCTAAAAATCATAGTATCTTTCAAGTCCAATACATTCAAAAGTTGGGATGTTGGTAGTTTAAATTATAATAAAAAACACACATTTTCAAGCATGAATGATTAGGAAGGAGAGACTTTTGTACTATTTCATTTTAAACATAAGCTCAGTAAGCCTCATTTCTAAGAGAAAAAGAAAAGGATGTGCAAAGGACATCAAACTATCTCACTTTCTATCATCTATTTTGTCTACTACACAGAGACAGAAGAAGCAGAGAAAAACAAGGGTGAAAATTAACTGGGCACTGTCTCCAGGGAAATATATTAGTTAAACTAAGAAGGGCCTCAGAGAAATTCTCACTTTTATGCTGGGTGGTCATTGTTTGCTCATTCACAATATAAACTCTTGCTGTAGGCTCAAACTCACACATCCATTTGTAGTTTTTATTCTCTTCCCCATGGCATCCACCTGTGTAGTAAAAAGTGTTCTGTTTACAAATGTTTCAAACAAGTTTCTGAAAATATCAAATAGGTCCAGCTACTACATCCA